TGTACATAGTCAAGAAGAAAGTCAGAAGTGCGGTTTTTTTTTTTTTAGGTTTTATTAAACATTTATAGGCCGCCCTTTTCCCTGGGGGGGCTCAGGGCGGCTTACAATAATAGGGGAGGGGAGTGCAGAACAAAACACAAAAAGAAAATGTGAGTAAAAATAATTAGATGTCAAGAACATAGATGTAGAGTTTGAAGAAAAACTGCCCAAAATGTGTGTATAGAATGTGTTAAATGAAGGAACACAATATTTAAAGTTAGGAAGTGATACCTTGATAACTGCCTTTTGCTAAAATAGATAGTAATTTACTTTGTTCAGGTACCATCCTGCTCAAGTACTATTTAAGGAAGAGATGAAAAACTTTGGTGGGCCTCCAGATGTTACTGAACGGTTGTTCAGAAGTTACCAAGATCTCTGTCCACAAATGTGCCACTATGAAGAGACAGCTAGGGAAACCTCCCGGGTTATTGCAGCCAGTAGCATCCCCTGTGAAACCGTGGGAGGAGATAGCCATGGATTTTCTAGTTGATTTGCCAGAAAGTCGGGGGATGTAGATCTTGGCAACATCTGAACAACAGTTCAGCAATATCTGGAGGCCCACCAAAGTTTTTCATCTCTTCTTTAAATAGTACTTGAGCAGGATGGTACCTGAGCAAAATGAATTATTATCTATTTTGGCAAAAGACCGGAAAATGCTTGGCAACATATATATTGATTAACCTATAGGCCATATCAACGTACAGGTTCCAACACATATTACCAACAAAATTCTAAACAAACAATTTAAAATGAGAGTAGGGTAAAATACAATAGTTATAGGATAAAATACAATAATTTAATACATAAATATGTAAAATAGAATAAAATGGCATAAAATTATATTTCTGTATCACCCCCTACAATCTACCCCAATCAGGCCCACATATGGCGATCTCAGTCGGACCATTTTAGGCAGAAATTGTGTTGTATTAAATGTCGTTTTCAGATTCTGGCCACATATGAGGTATGTTGTTTTAATATGGGCCTCCCACTGGGACATATGTTTAATACGTGAATCAAGGTACTTATCTCTTGCCCCCTTATATAAACAGTCCTAGGGTCCACACCCAAAATACATCTTAGGTGCTAAGACTGTGCTTGCTCTAAAGTTGCAATAGGGTGTAAACCCCAAACTTCAGCTCTGTATAGGAGCACAGGGATTACCTTAGCTTTATATACTTTGATTAGTGGTACTAGGGAGCCTGGGTAACTGTGATTCTTTAATTTGAGTATTAGATTCAAGCGAGCTTTTGCTCTAAGTGTGCTCCATTGGTGGTTACAAGCCCAAGATCCGGTCTTGGAAAAAGTTATGCCCAAGTATATGAAGGTGCTAACCTGTTCAATTGGTTCCCCATCTAGTAGCCAACTACGTCTCTGGTTATGTTTACCAAACACCATAATTTTTTATTTTGATTTGCTAATAATTAGTTATCCTGACAGTAGTAGCTACATCTCTTTAGTAGTCTACACAATCCTACTTGTGAGTACGATAATAGGATCATATCATCAGCATAGAGCAAGGTGTTACAATTTCTATTTAGGATTGTTGGCATGTGCATCATAGGGTCTTTCATTAATCCTCATAAATGTCATTGATGTATAAATTAAATAGTAATGGGGCTAAAATGCACCCTTGCCTTTTTTATTATTATTATTATTTATTGAATTTATAGGCCACCCAATCCCGAAGGACTCCGGGCGGCTTACAAAGAAGGAAGAAAAAAGAAAATAAAAATAAAAAGAATAGTTTNGGCAAGCCACTCCCACAAAGGAGGCCACACCCACAGAGTAGGGTCCAACAATGTTTGAAACCCACCACTGATATGCACCAAAAACAAATTCCTTGTAGGTCCAATCATACTTGGCCAAGAAAGAATTCTATTCTATTCTATTCTATTCTATTCTATTCTATTCTATTCTATTCTATTCTATTCTATTCTATTCTATACTGCTTAGAGACAGCTATAAAACTCTATGAGGTGATATATATGACTTACTGAGTTTGATCCTAGGCAGAGGCAGATATTTCTCTCTCTAGGCACAATGATAATATATCTGCAGGACAAAACTCTGCATTGGCGACACAAAAGGCATCCGGCCATTAAACACTCTGCTAGCTCCATATCAGTTTGCCGAGACTCTACACCGCAAGGGATTATGAGGTCGTTAAAAGAAGATGATTGCTACTGCTATACATTAGTTCAAAATAGCTGCCACTGCAGCAATGGGCATGGTTGAGTAGAAGCCTACCTCAATCATGGTACCAAGTAGCAGCTGAAGAAAGAGTGACTTACTGATAAAGTTGGCCTGGCCGGTGAAGATGGTATACTGGAGCTCATATGAGCCGACGCTGAACTCATCATCAGAGATCCAGTGGACAGTGATGGTGTCGTGGGAGGCGGTGCAAAGTTCTTCACGGACAGCGGGCGGGTTGGGCGCTGTAGAAGCAGACAAGAAGTGAGCAGCTTTCTGTTCTCCCAATGAGAAACCATTCATCCTTGTTCTATAAAGGTAAAAGTTTCCTTACCCAGTTGTGTCCGGCTCTAGGGAGCAGTGCTTATCTCTGATTCTTAGCCAAGGGACCCAACATTATCCAAAGATGCTTCCATGATCATGTGGCCGGCATGACTATATGCCGAGGTGCACAGAGTGCTTCCCACTGAAGTGGTACCTATTTATCTACTCGCATTTGAATGCTTTCGAACTGCTAGGCGGACAGGAGCTGGGACAAGTAACAGGAGCTCAGCCTGTATTGCAATGCTCAGGTCTCCAACCCGGGCTGTCAATTGCTAAGAGAATTGCATCCAATTTTGCAACCTTCTTGCTCCCGTTATTAAGCAAATCATTGCAGCCATTAAGAGAATCATGCAGTCAGTAAGCCAACCTGTCTTTCTCCATTGATTTGCTTATCGGAAGCTGGCTGGGAAGCTGGCAGATGGCCACCCTGTGAGGTCCTTGTTGAATGACCCACCGTGATTCACTTAATAATGGCAACCAGAAATGCTGGAATTTCCATTGCTAAATGGTCTGATCGTGGCACGTTCCCACTTACAAGGGCATTTGCTTAGCGACGGAAATTCCAGTCCCAATTTCCATTAAAGTGAGGACTAGCTATGCATTTACACCCTACAGCTGTCAGCTGTGACCAGGGGGGCATTTGCCCAGGTTCGCCTGGTGCACCAGTTGCGTCCCTACCTNGAGCCCTCCTCGGCAACAGGCCACGCCCCCAGGAAGTCCAGTGGACCGCGGTTTTGACGGGTCACGCACCCAAACCAGTCCAAACCAGTAGAGTCCCACCCCTGCGGCCTGACCTAAACATTTTTGATGAGCTGATGGAAAACTGGGTGAGAGGCAGTGGTGGGTTCCGGCTCCCACTGCAACCAGTACACTGCAACGGGCCTGGGCGTCCACCACATGTACGTGCGCAGTGCACATGTGCGTACCCACTGCCCGCAATGCTCCAGCTGTTCGGTGGAGCATTGCACAGGCACCATATGCCGTGTGTGCAAATGCCCCAATCAGCTCAAATAGCGGTAAGGAGACTGGGTGGGTGGGTGAGCCCTCTGGAGCACTGTACCGGAACACTACCTAGTGCTCCCAGGGGACATCAGTACGCCCGTACCGGGGCATATTGGTCGTATCCCACCACTGGTGAGAGGTATTCTCAATCTAGTTTGGAGTTGGACAGAAGTAGGTGGAGTAGAACTTCTAAGCCAGGGGTGTCCAAAAGTTTTGCAAGGAGAGCCAGGTTTGGTGAGGTGAAAATGTGTGGGGCTGACCATTCAGCCTGACATTGTTTCAACCATTAACATTAAATGCAAATGAACTGTCTTATGAAAGACTAAACAAACAACTCTGGTGGGAAGAAGAGGCTGCAGGCCGCTCGAAATTTGAAAATGGGCCAAAATTGGCTCCCGGGCCGCACTTTCGACATGCCTGTTCTAAGCATATCCAATCCAAAGATTTTAATCTGCTTCCCCCAGAGTTGGTGCCATAAATTTACAAATTTATTCAGCTGAGTAAAGAACAGGGAAAATCCCCCACCCCATAACACAAATACACACTTTCTCCGTCCAGCAATTTCCAGCAATGTCGATATATCTTAGTGAATTTGAAATGGGAAAGTACATACATTTATTATTCCTGCCGATTCTTCCTTCAGATAAGCAAATATTTGGGCCCATCTCAATTCCTTCCTCTCCAACTAATTGGTCAGGACACGGAGAACATGAATCTGAAGTTGCAAGCCATCTCCAGAGCATCCCAGAGAGCCGTGGTGGCACAGTGATTAGAATGCAGATATCACAGGCTAACTCTGCTGACTGTCAGCAGTTCGACCCCGACCAGCTCAAGGTTGACTCAGCCTTCCATCCTTCTGAAGTTGGTAAAAGGAGGACCCAGATTGTTGGGGGCAATACATTAAAATATTTACAGACATAATCTGTTTCAACTCCTATCCTCAAAACGGTCCTATAGAGCAATTAGACACAAGGACAGTTTTTTCCCAAGCACCATCACTCTGCTAAACAACTAATTCCCTCGACACTGTCAAACTATTCACTAAGTCTGCACTACTATTAATCATCATTCCTATCACCCATTTCCTCCTACTTATGACTGTAACTTTGTTGCTTGTATCCTTACAATTTATACTGATTGTTTCCTAATATGATTTGATTGCTTATTTGCACCCTATGACTATCATTAAGTGTTGTACCTTATGATTTGTGACAAATGTATCTTTTCATTAGGTACACTGAGAGCATATGCACCAGAGGTGGGTTCCTACCAGTTCACACCTATTTGGTAGAACCGGTTCGTCAAATCTACCGAACCGGTTAGAAGAGGTTCCACCAGTGGACCCNAATTAGGCGCGAAAGCAGTTGATATATAGAATAGCCCATTCCCCACCCCTTGGCATCACAGTCCCAGCCCAATCATAAGTCTTTCAAGTGTCAGGTGTGAGATAACTTCAAAAGGCATCACGAAGATGGAATGTCGGTGCCGTTAGTCCAGGCGGGAAACACCCACGCATGCGCAGTCCGAACAGTCGGTGAACTCCAGAACTTTCCTCCAGCACAATGAGTAACCCCTCCCAAATACCATGCCCTCCCTCCCCGTTTCATGGCAGCTGAAGCGACAGCAAAGCAGAAGCTGACAAGAAGAATCGGAAAGAAAGCAATGGCAGAAAATAAACAAAAGCTACTTACCATCACTGCATCCATAGCACCCTTGTTCGAGCTCTAAAGGGAAACCAAAGGTAACATTCTACTCTGATGTGATTATACTTATGACTTCTCAAACTGTGCCATTACCACCATCTTCAGCATCAAATACATGAATATCTTCATTCTCCAGATTAAAAAAAACATGCATTCTTTCACACAACGCACAGTGGTATTTGCTAAAAGAGACACATTAGTATTAACTGTTCGGAGAGACTTTCTTTTCAACGTCCTTCCAAATTCACCCATCCATAATGTGCACAGAGAAAAATGCTTGCATGCCTTGATGCATGAAGTTTGTTGCTGAGAACAGAGGGCCTTTAACAGACCTAGCTCTGGAGTTAAAGCTCTTTCAGGAACCTTGCACAACATGATCGCATTTCACATGTGAATTTGAGTTCAGCTTAGATATACAACCAAGAGAAGGAAAACCTACCATCAACAGTGACACAACAATTTCAAGCCTGGATATATTTCATCTTGAGGTTTCTTTAAATTGTTATATGGATTACTATGTGGTGTGAATGAGAGCTAATTGATCTGCTTACCATTTCATACGTTAGGGAATTTGAGGAAAGAGGGTTAGATTAACAGCCAGAATAAGTCTGTTGCATGTGCTTTGTAACACAAAGTAGTAGACCAGGTTATTAAAGTAGACTTCTACTTTGTTAAATATTTCAGATGAGTTGAAAATTTCCTTTAAAAAGGGGGTTTGGAGTTTCACAAAATTTCCATGTTAAATAAAAGCGAGAGAATCTATTACATCCGAAATCCATTCGGTGCAAAGGTATATCTAATGGGAAGAAATTTTGGGGCCCTCTCTCTTCTAGGCCTCCTGCACCCCCATCTCCTTTTACTCCAAAGTAAGTTACAAAAGGAAAAGAGAGACATGGTTGATACAGATGTCTCTATCCATCAAGATCTCCTTTGTAGGATTCCCTGTGCAGCTACTGTATAGGAAGCAACCGGACTCTGAAACCCGAAAGAAGATTCCCGTGTCCTCTTCTAATTTCTAATAAAATTTCAGCTCGAATTTCAGATTTTTGCTCGTTAGAAAAAGATCCAAAAGGGACCTAGGCCATTCTGAACACAGAACATAGAAAAACAGGGTTGGAAGGGACCGTGGAGATCTTCTAGTCCAATCCCACCCTGCTCATCGTAATGTGTGTCTTCATCTAAACATGCTATGGAAATAGTGGAATTCCCTTGAAGGAAATGAAGAAGGAATTATGAGACTCGAGATCCACAGGTGATATTCACAGGGCAAACGACATGGTGTTAAAAAGTGAGGTGTACAGTTTTGCTACACCAAGAACCTGAATGCTGACTAGATTTTTGCCTTCCCTCTCTGTGACCCCTGGATGAACGAGGCAAGAATCACTCTCAGATGCCCCTTCATGTTTTCTGTTTCCAACTACTTACCTCTTTTTCATTTCCATCACCGATATACATACTCTAAAAGTGAAAAGGAAAGGATATCTTTAAAATCATGATAGAACAGAACAGAGTATCCTGTGAGGATTTTGTGAGCATCAGGCTGGGCTAGTAGTTTGTTCAAATCAAGAACGGGTCCATGAATACCACAGAGGGTATTCATGCCAATGGGATGGTATGAGCAGAGTAGATAAAGCCATTCCAACCAAAAGGAATAGGCAACATCAACAAACAGACACAACACTTAACAAGTGCAGAGATCCAAGGAAATGGCTGCTTTGTAATAACCCAATAATGTAAAATACACGTTTTCTCTCACTATGCTGTCGTTGCCATCTTCAATATTATATATCCATATCATATATTTATAGTGATAATTGCATTTGTATTTCATTCCGCAGTTGGAAAGATGGCTTTCTTATCAGAACACAGACCGATTGGGATCAAAGAGACATATTAATGAAGTGTTCTTTGAGGGTTTTATTTTGTTTTCATGAGCAAAAGGTTTTGGAGAATTTTTCTTTCAAAAACAAGCAATTCTTGTAAAGAACTGGCTTTTTAAAAATATGTGTGTCTTAATTAATTGCTTTAAGAAACTGATATGGCCATCCAACTTAAAGCAGACATTGTAAAGACAAGAAAAGCAAGAAAAATCTGGTGCCACCACCATTCTCCAACCTAGATCTTGCCACCACTTTCTCCCACAAGCACTTCACAGCCTTCCAGAGGGTTAAAAAAGTAGATTCCAGGAGACCTGCTGGATCCCAGAAGGAAAAGTG